CGTGCAGGTTCTCGGAGGGCGTCCTCACTACGCCCCTGCTCCCCACTCGCCTCCGTAAGGCTAGACGTGGGGAAGTTGTCAAGGCCCAAGGTCCCCAAACTGGAATCACCTGCCGGCCGTGGAAGGTGTTTCTCCAAAGCTCCCAGGGGCTGCCGGAGGGTCCCCAGCACTGCGTGGTGCTGCCACTTCCCTGACGGTGTGAATTAATAATTTAGGAATGTAGAGCACCTTAGACCTACCGTAGTAGTTTTTCCCACATGGGACATGTTCATATGTGAATAACATCCAGCTAACCCTGTTTATAACTGGAATATGTTCCTAGAGGCACACTCATAGCTAGAGTCAGCCTCTAAACGTCACTGTCGCAACTGTGAAATGGGAATAAAGCTCACAGGGTTAGTCCTGTAATTACATAACTAAAAGGTCTATGGAAATGTGAGGTTGAAGCAAATCACTGTAGAATCAGTCCCGTTACTCCACAGAAACATTTGTTGCAGTATCGCTGACTTGAACATGGCTCAACAAAAACAATGTTGCGCAATCGATAGCATGTTATAAAAACAAAGCCAAAAGAATTTTAAGTTTGTAAAAATGATACAGCTGTGATCTGTGTCCTACAACATGGGTAGAAATATACTATGCAGATTTTTCCCTCGTAAACCCAAACATCCAGGGAAGTGTAGACAGCATACGATTAATTCTACACCATTATAAATTTGATATTGCACTATTGTGCCCAAGGCTCGTCAACCACACACTCGACAGTGGAGACGTTTTGGCAGCTATGGGGAGGGGCAGTGAGGTGATTTGGGCGACCACGTCTACCAAGCCAGCTACCTAGGAAGACTTGCATTGACGTCTTCTCTGCCTCACAATAAATTTGTTTAAACAAGGTATTTCACAATAATCCCCTTGCCTGTAAAATTGCACTTGAAGTTATTTCAAAAATAGCCAATTTAGCATTTTAATATTCGAAGGCTTCTCCGAAGTTGGGGAACGGCTGTCTCTTGAATGTCCTATTCACTGTTCTCTTTTCTCAGCTCCCCAACCCAGAACCCCAGTCCTGAACTGGCAGAAGTTGCTTTACTTCCTGTGCTTTCGTTGTCTGTGATGAAGGAAGAGCTTTGTTTACGGGCAATTGCGTGATGTAACTTCTGGGCTTCTCAAAGCAGCTGGTGTTTTTAACTCTTTTTCTTTCCTTGACTTGTCAGTTTAGGGGTGGACGTACACATACGTGGGAGGCTATACAGGGGTCTCGGAAACGTGTGGTAGTGGAGAGCTAGATGGTGTTGCTGCAGCTGCCCACCGCCTGCACCTGCGCGAGCGAGGGAGGAAGGTGGAAGCCAACAGCCCCCCGCCGGACGCCCTAACCCCACCCCTACCCCTAACCCCTACCCCTAACCATCCCTGCAGCTCCTGTGTGTTTCGTTCTGACCCCAGTGCGGGGAGGGAGCTTTGATTACCTCCACTTTATAGCACGCTGAGGCTTAGAGAAGTGGAATTGGGCCCAAGGTCACCCAGGGAAACCTGGGTTGAGACCTCAGTCTCCTCCGCCTGATTTGCGCCTTGAAAAGTCAGAGCTTCCCATGAATGCCTAGTAATTGGTTAAAATACCTAGGAGCAAAGTGCCGCGGCCCCTGGCCCTGGCGTTTCAGTTTCATCATTTGCCCAGGCAGACAGGCTCATGTTTTACCTGATTCCTCCTAGAGCTCGCCAGGGTGACACCTAGAAGTCTAAGCTGCTTTAGGGGCCCGTTATTGAAAATGAAAGCCAGTTAAAATCGGATTGCTTCCCAGTTCATCTGGATTGCTAATTTTGATTGCATAGTCTTGATTCTAACCCTCTAGGTAACAAAAAGTGTCGATAATCACACAAACTTTATCGAAGTGTTCAGTAATCCCGTCGGCTGCAAATCCGACCTAGGCTTGAATTCCAGTCTGGAGTCTGCAGCCATCCAGATGGAACCTGGAGGTCTGTCCCCGTCCCAGCTCCAGCTCTCCGCCCCTCCCCCCTTCTCCTTTTCTGTTATTTTGCAAAAAGCTTCTTCTGTTACCCAGGAGACCTTCAGAGTCAGCCTGGCTTTCCTGGGGCATTCCACACATTTATCAAATTTTTCTCTTGCTTTCTCAATTTGATTAATTGCAAACATGAGATAAAGTAAAGATCCCTCCAGACGCACAGCTGCTGGGTCCACAGATGCTTCTTTTCAGCACACTGCAGACACGGCTGCTGGGGCTGAGCTCCGGGCCGAGACCATCATCCATATCCTTCTGTGACTCGACTGTCTCCCACAGGCAGACTGGGGCAGCGTCAGAATCAAGGAGGCAGAGCAACGGTCACTCGCGATCACGGGCGAAGGTGAGCGGCGGATCCGCTCTGCCGCCCTCGCCCCGGCGCCGTGGTGCGCAGCCCAAGCACCGGTGCGCAGACAGTGTTTCCCATCCAACCGTCATTTTCTTCCTCTTGTCTTTTTTCTCCTGCCAGTATATGACCTTTGCATTTAAGGCTAGAATTTACCAACCCTAAATGAGACATATAAATAAATTTTCTTTATATCATCTGAGCAGTCAGTCAAATGTAAGTAAGTAGGTTTATCTGACTAACTAGTAAAATCTAACAGGTTTATTCGAAAGTCTGACCTGGACTTTACTTCTCGTAATTGATTCTGTGTCCGGTAATCTTGAGTTTTCTAAAGAGTGATTAAAATAGTCATTGCAGGTGTCCTGTGAAGTGTGGTAGATGCTTGATCGGAACAAACAAACCTGGATGAAATGTCGCCTCCTCCAAGCAGCGCTTGAGCTTCTTGTGGTTAGATTTCAGCTGTGTTCAGGGCCATTGGTCCAAATATAGTTCTCCTTTGTCCACAAGTAACTCTCAAAATATTTACATGTCCCAGGCTATTCTGATTTGGGACAAATCCTCAGATTAGTTTTCTGGAGGCGGGAAGGTTGCATTTGCATTCGCGTAGTGCCAGCACGGGGAGAGGGAAGGAGGAGGAGGAGGAAAAGGTGCAGACGGCAGTTAGGAAGGACGCACAGGGCGTGGAGCCGGAGGACAGTGGTGACAGGAGGTGGTTCCCACTCGCCTGGGAAATGCCCCTAAAGGTCCAAGCTGTCAACTTTAACTAAAGAAGTTACCCGTTTTTGCTTGTAGTTAGTTTTGAATAGACCAGTTCTTTTTTCTTAAACAGAAAGGTGGATCCACAGGTGTTTGATGCATTGTTAGTCTATAAATTATAGACACATCGCAAGTTCTTAATGTTTAGTTAAAACAGCACTGCGTGGAACAAAGAGAGGTCACACTTTGGAACGGCAGCCCCTGTATGCCCAGCAGTCAGATCAGCATCTCGCAAGGGCTCACAGAGAACAAAAAATTCTTTTTCCCTTTTTTAACTCATCTTATCCCATAAAGTACTATAGGTGCCCCCAAAGTCCATTTTCCAATGAAAAGATTGCCCTGTAAAGGTTTTTTCGGTTGTCCTATTTAAATAAATTGGCAAGGCAGATGATAGACTCGCACTGGACACTGAAATTATCTGCAAAGGCAGTCTTGCGTCTTTGAAATCGTGCATATCCGCACACTGCTTTTTTTCACTCTCGTGCCGTAAAACTGGGGAATTTGTCTGACTCCTTAATGCTGGTCGGGTTCTTGTCATCACTAGAGCCACGTCTTGCACTGACCAGAGCCTTGTCTTTGGGCACCTGGAGTTGCCGGAAGTGCAGCACCATCGAGCCCGCTCTGCGTGAGGCCCCCACTGGAAATGTTCCACGCGCCCCGGTCCCGTTTTTGAGGCCCAAAGGCGGCTGGGGCTTTCCCTCCGGCGGTTGGCTGTTTGCGTCCCACATGGACCCGGAGGTCTCGCTCCCGGGAGTGACTCCGGTGCTGTGGATGTTGGCTTCTTCTCTCCTCACCAACCCCTGGACCCGCCGTGGGGCGACGGGGGTTCCTATGCAGGAGGATCCTACACCAGTCCTTCATGAGTCGCCATAAAGCCGCCTGGTAGTAGGAGAGGCGGAAGCATTCAGCTGTTAGGCAGTTCTGTCTCTCCTGAAGAGTGACGTTGGGTAACCAAACTGGCGCTGCCTTCAGACGCATGAAATATTTTGGGGATTTCCCTTCCCATGCTTAGAAGATGATTCATTTTGTCATCTTCCAAGGACAGCTGCGCCTGGGCTCGGCAGGGGAGTGGGGGACCCACATCTTCTTTAAAAAGACAATTACATCATGTAGTTGTCCTTAAAAACCCGGGCCACCTGCGACCAGGTCTGAGCTGACGGGACAAGGGACCCTCAGCTGGGGATGCCCATGGTCGGCGCGGGTCCGGAGGAGTGGATGGATGAGCACTTTGTTTGGAATGGGTGTGGCTTAAATTCTTTAGTTCTGTGCATATCTTGGGGAAAAGTCATAAATTTGCTGCTAAGGTTTGAGTTGGAAAATAAAAAGGAAGAGCAACATGCTTTCTCTAATCCAACTCGATCTTCCCTGCAAACTGCAGATTCTTCGGATGCTGGTCCGACCAGCAGTCCTCGATCTGACTTTACTGTTTCTTAAAGCAGCAAGCACAGTGACTACTTGTTACCTTTTATTTTTAGACGAGTGTTGAGCACTTTCCTGGCGTCTCAGCCCATCTCGTTCCATTGCACCTGAATGTGAGATGTGACTCTCTGAGCGTCTGTGTGTGTGCACAAACCTTTGAGATTTCTCGTGATGGGTCGACATTTTTTTATAGGTGAGGAAACAAGCCGAAGCGTGTTTGTTACTGAGCAGAATCTGGGGATGGGTGCTGTTCTACTTTCTAGCTCTTTGCACGGGACCAGAAGCCTGGCATTTGCTGAAAGGATGCCTTGGACATGTCTCTTGAGTTTTCAGGGCTTTGGTTTTCTCTTCTCAAAAATAGTCTTTATCTGTCTCACAGGGTTGTCATTCTGATTGGAAAATAACGTGGAAAATTCTTCAAGTACAGCTTAAAGGCTTATGCCTTCTCTCTCTTTTTCTTTCAGCGTCTGAAGAGCTCGTCGTAACAGTTCGGGATGGGGAACCACGTGGGGAAGCGCGAGCCGCACGCGGAGAAGGCCGGCACGGTAAGCCGCCAGCTGCGGCTGGAAGCGCGCGACGTTCTTGTCGTTACACGCCAGCCCCTGGGCGCAGGTCGGCTAGAGGCGCTGGGTCCGCCACCGCACTGCGCGCTGTCCGCGGGTGGGAGCTGAGCCCCGTTGCTGTGATTAATTATCATTCATAATTTGCTCAGGAAGACTGCCTGTCTCCGGATAGGTCCTGACCTTGCGAGGAGATAAAGGAAGCAGGGAGGGAGGAAAGGACGGAGACAGGGAAGGAGAAAGGGAGAAATCAGAAGGAAGACGAGGCCTTTGCTCCCTGCCCATGGGGTGTGATCCCGAGTGCATCGGGAGAGTCTCAGAGAGAAAAGAGATCATAAAACTCTTCTGCTCTCGTGAAGAAACGCTTTTGTTCTTTCGACGGTTTCTATCTTTTAAACGAGGGTATTCCCAAATCGCACTCTGTCCACTCCGCCCAGAGCCCTGGTGAAGGGACGGGAGACCCTTGAGCCGCCTGCTCAGTCCTCTCCTGAACCAGGGACGGCCTTCTCCGCCGTTCGGCCACTCGGCCCTCGCGCCTGTTTTCCCTCCTTCTGGGGTCTCGCCCAGCCCCGACCGCACCTCTGCATCTCCCAGAGTCTCCACTCCCACCAGGGTCCTGGCCCACCTCAGAGATCCGGGCCCAGGTGCCGACGGTGATGGTTTGCAAAGGTGTCCCGTCCAAAAGCCCAGCTTCCGGGTCACCCGCTCCCGGGAGTCCTGTGCTCGTGCTGCCTGGGTTTCTTCTAAGACGGCTCGGTCGCTACCCCCCTGCCCTAGACACTTCCAGGGCCGTCTGTAGCCAGGACCCCAGCCCTGCCGGACTCGGCCCTTCCCGTGGCACCTCCCCCCACGGCCCTTTCCTGACCGTCCTGTAGAACGTTTGGAAAATACGAACGAGCGAGCAGGAAAACCGCGAATTATAAACCACCCAAACCTTTCCAGCTAGTCAGAAGCGATCTTTGTGACCCTAGCGCAGCACTAGCCGTTTTCCGGCTTATTTATGGGCATCTGCTTCCCGCTCTCATTGTGACTCTCTGCATTGTTCCACGCCCCTGTGCTGTCTCTGGACTGAGGTCCCCACATTTTGTGACTGAGACCCCCACGGCAGGTGATGTTCACAGGGACCACAACTGACATGAGCCTGATGTTGTGCACAAAACTCTGAACCTCCCCCAATTTGGGGAGGGGGGATTGTTCGATCTCTTTGTTTGTTTAACTGGACGTAAGATTATGCCACAACTTGGGACGGAACGGCAGGGCACCAGAACACGCCGTGCCGAGGGTGGAGGCCCGCGACCTCCACGCGGAAGGGCTTTTAAAACGTCCACTGAATCGAATTGAATTGAATTGTGGCCTCAAGATCTCCTATGGTCTGTGGGAGTGTTTTTATTTAATAATAGCAAACTTTACAGTAACGGGTCCTCTGAGGTGTACGTGGACTCAATTTCTGTATCAGCCAAACAGGTAATTTTCCGTGACTTGCTTTCGAGTCACATGCAAAGCGCGTGAGTGATTGCCTGCCATCCTCGTGTATCTCGTCTTAATGAAAGTCACGGAAAGTGTCATCTACAGCATTATCTCGTTTCTTGCCTAATGATTTAGAAGGATCAATTTTCTAAATATGTAAATGGTCTTAGTAAATACTGGATGGGGGGCGACTCATTCGATTCTGCCGATACTGACACAGTATCACTGATAATTCAGCTGTTACAATTAGCAGAAACACCAGCGTCTGCAGCAGGAGGATACAGTCTCAGCTAAAAGTAAGAGTGGAAAAAACAGCGCTTCTCAGCGTTCTCTAGACCGTTAACACTGTGCGGTATTTTAAGTCTTAGAATGACTGATTTGCAGCTCCAGTTTCTAAAAACCTCTGTGGCTACAGTCTTTTGCCTATTGTTTGACGTTGTAAAGCACAGAAATATATTTTTAATTTGTCTCATTCTGCCAGGGAAAGATTGTCGAGCATAAGCCTATACTTATGCTTTCATTTTCTGAAATCTAATTTTTAAAGTTCCGATCAAGTGAAAACATCAAAAACTGGGAATTTAAAAACTATGGTTTTTGTAGGTAGCTTCCACTAGTAAGAGCTTTTTAAAAAAAAAAAAAAACCTTGATAGAAACCATTTGATGCCCTTCAAAGTCTGTGTTCCGTGACGCTCCACGGCCTAGGTGAGCATTTGAACTTGCACCACAGGAGGAAGATGCCACGAGAGCTCCCACCCCACTGGAGACCACTCGAGTATTGGTGTGTATAAACCGGGAGGCATTTTGTTCCCTTACGAGATGGTGCGAGGAGGGGCTGTGTCTGTTTCGGGTGCTGCTTGCTGATCCGTGCACCGTGCACGGGGAGGGCAGCTCCCTCGAGCCCTAAGCCACATCCTCCCGCCCCTGTCTGCCTCCCTCCTGAGCCCCTCCCCGCGGCCTGCAGAGACCTTGCAGCCGTGATCTGACGCCGACGCACTGATCAGTTTGTCCTCTGGCTGCCCCCTGCACGTCCAGAGGACCTCCCTCCCCCTCCTCACTCGCGCTAGGGCCTTGGACATCCTGGCACGGCTGACTCTGAATGTTCGGAAGAGTAAATAAAGCACACCCTGTTTGCTAACTCCACTTGCACGTAAGAACTGAGCTTCCTGGCACGCTCTGCACTCGTGGGTGCGGGGGAAGGAGATGGGAGACCGTCCCCACCCTCCAAGACCCTCCAGTCTGGTGGGCAGGTTTTCCCCCAGTGACTCAGCTCCTTGAAATCCCGAGTTAGACACGTCAGACGTGAGGGGAAGAGCAGCTGACCAGGGGTAACTGGAATTTCTCCGCGCGATGAGAAGACAAAGGACTCGCTTTGCTGAAGTCGCACCGTTGGCCGCTTGTCCTGGTGACGATGTGGTGGGAGCCGCAGTCCTGGCGCCATGTCCAAGAGCTGCGCTGGGCCCAGGGCAAGACCCACCAGCAGGGGAGCCGGGGCCTGTCCTGGCCGTGATTCACGCCCCTCGGTGACTAGTAACTTCCCGGGGCAGGAGCGGTCTCAGTGACTCACCCCCACGCTCAGAAATGAAGAAATCCCTGTTTCGCTTTTGATTCCCTTTTTTATTTTTAGTCCCAGTGAAGTTTTGGGTTCCGAATGACCCTCAGCCGTTCCCCAGCTTTTCCGCAGCCTGCCGTTTGTATTTGATCTCCGCTTTCGCGGCAGTCCTTTGGCAGAGCTGGGGGTGGGAGTGGTCGCTGCTGCCCTGGGGAGGGAGAGATCAGCCGCGAGCTCAGAGCAGCCCCGGCCGCGGGGGCCTGGTGCCTGCCTGACGGTCCTGGAGGTCTGGATGCAGTCAGACGTGCGGCCGAGCTGCCGCTGGAGGAACCCATGGCCTGTGGTCAGTGTCAGGGAAGGTGCCGGGCCGCGGCCCTGGGAGGACCGGCACGTGGTCGCAATAGTGCCACGGAGGCCACTAGTCTCAGAGCTCCCCTCCCAGGCCCCTCGGCTTCTGACCTGTGAGTTTGCTCCCTGGACCTTTTCGGTGACAGCTAAGCCTGTACCAAAGGCGGCGCCAATGGTGGCAGCCTAAGCGCCAGGCGCCCTGCGGACATTATCCGCACCGTGTGTTGTACTAGAACAGTCTCCTGGGGCCGCCACAACAAGACACACAGACTGGGCGGCACAGCCACAGAAACGCGTCTCTCCAGCTTGGAGACTGGCAATCCAAGATCACGGTGCCGTCGGGGCTGGTTCCTCAGCGGCCTCTCCTGGGCTTGCAGACGGCCACCTCGTCCCTGCGTCCTCGCGTGGTCGTCTCCCCCTGTGTGTGTCCTCGTCTCTGCTTCCTGTACAGACCCCAGTCACGTGGGCCGAGTCCCACCCTGCTGGCCTCATTTTAATGTCCTTTCCTCTTCAAACACAGGCACATTCTGAGGTCGTAGGGGTCAGGACTTCCATACGTGAATTTTGGAGAACGTGGTTCAGGCCACGGCGTGGACTGTGTGGCTTGCTAAGTCCCAGCAGCGGTCGGGCAAGGGGAGAGGTGAGGGAAGGAACTTTCTCCAGCCCTGGGACTGGTATTTGCCGCCAGCGTCTGACGCCCCACCCTAAGAAAGACACTGCCGTCGCTCCGGGCACAGACCCCCCACCAACAGCCACACCTATCAGAGACCACAGAGTGTGTTTCTCTTCTCTCAGCTCAGACGGGCGCTTCCTGTGTCAGGTACTCCTTCCTGCCTCCCACCGCAGGCGCCGAGCGGCGGCAGCACCCGTGGCGGCGTCTCCGCTTGTGACTCGCGCTGCTGTGTTCGGCCCGTCTCCATGCTGGGGACCCGAACGGTGGCCGTCTCCATCCTCCGGCACCGAGGCCCCCGGCTGAAGGGGACCTGCCCACGCCAGGCGGGGACGGAAGGAGAAGCTGGCAGGTGCGGCAGGAACATTAGTGCGGGCGCACCTGGAAGTCTGCAGCTTCTAGTGGCCACGTAAAAAATCAAAAAGAGACAGGTGAAGTTAATTTTAATGTCACATATTTTCTTTAACTTAACAAACCAAATGTCATGTCAGCGTAGGGTCCGCATAAAAATTACCGATGACGCAGTTTACAGTCCTTTTCCTCACACTGTGTCTTCACACTGGGGGATTTATCTTGGGGGCCACCCGCGGCTGGGACCGCAGGACCGGGCGGCACAGCGCCAAAGCCGCCACGGCTGTCCCGCCAGGCAGAGCGTCCCAAGAACCTTTCGTGGCTCCGTCTGTGCGTCTAGTCCGTTGCCTGATATACAAACGCGCCCTAATGAAGTAAGGAGAACACTTGCCGATCCCCAGCTTTGTTCACCCAGACTCTCTGCGCAGCCTCCCCTGGGCAGACGAGTCGGTATTGATGAAGATGAGGAGGAGGACACTAGGGATAGAGGTGGCCTCGGGCTCACTGCCGGGCCAGTGGGCAGCGTCAGGGCCCCGATGCATGAGAACACAGGTGCAGGAGGGACCATCCGCGTTTGCCGCGGCGTATCCAGCCCCCTGC